CCACCTTGGCCTCTCAACATGCTGGGATTACAGGCATGAGCCACGTCACCCAGCCCTCTTTATGGAGTTTTTAATCATGCATGGTGATTGTATCAAAACAAATAAATAATTATGGTATTAAATATAGTCCTTGCAAAATGTGATCAGTGCTTTGAGGAAGGTAAGGACTTGGCCTGGTACATCATAAAGATTTATTAGAGTTTGTTGACTTAAAAAAAGAAAGCCAGAACAGTCTTTTGACCTCTAAAACCTTAAACCGTTCCCTTGCAGTTCTGCTTTTTTTGGCATGGAGAAGTAATTATCTGCAAACTTTTTCCTTCTCCAGAGCAGCTCTTTTGCAAAATAAGACTTACCTAAATTCTTTTTTTTTTTTTCCGAGATGGAGTTTTCACTCTTGTTGCCCAGGCTGGAGTGCAATGGTGCAATCTCAGCTCACTGCAACCTCTGCCTCCTGAGTTCAAGCAATTCTCCTGCCTCAGCCTCCCAAGTAGTTGGGATTACAGGTGCCTGCCACCACACCCAGCTAATTTTTTGTATTTTCAGTAGAGATGGGGTTTCACTCTGTTGGCCAGGCTGGGCTCAAACTCCTGACCTCAGGTGATCCACCCATCTTGCCCTCCCAAAGTGCTGGGATTACAGGTGTGAGCCACCATACCTGGCCTAAATTCTTAAGCCTTCTATCAAATATAAGAGAAAATCCAGGCGCTGAAGTGGGATTGGGTGTCCTATGGATCCAGTTGCATATTTACCCTGCTCCATCTGTGGTTCAAATGCTTACCAGGTTACAGCAGAGAAGCTGAGCTTATGCATGCTGGTAGTAGCTATCAATAATATGAAATCAGGATCCAGTTTTATTTATAACCTTACAGATCCATGAATTGGCTATAATTACATGTACAATCAGCATAGCCAATGACAAAGTACTCTGATAGTTAGCTCTTTTCCTTTATCTGTTCTCTGACCTTCTACCTTGGCTATTCACCAGGTTGGTGGAAGAGGGGGTCCCCAGCACTGGCCACTGATTGTATGCCCTACCTTCTCCTTGTCCTTAGCATCACTCAGGCACACCCTTTCCCCACTACCCTGCTTCACACAAGTGCTACATACCTGTTCACATACATGCTGTATAGATGGTTTCCTCTGATCTCTTAACAAAACTCTTATATAACAAGGATGCTATGCAGATGGTCCATTCATTAATTTATTCTCATTCCATCTTCCTCCTCCCCATCTCCTTATGCTCTCTTCTCTCCATAGATTAAAATAAAACATAAAACAATGAGACAAGAGTATTCCTCATTGGATTGTTTTCCAGATTTACAGAGTCTCTGGGAATATTCTGAATTCGTACTCACAGTATTGTTTTTATCAGGATCCTAAGGAGTGGCAAAGTTAAGTCAGCACCTCCAGGTGGAGGAGTCCCCAGAACGTTTGGCGGAAAAGCCCTGACCTCGGATAGAAAGAGCTGGGCTCTAGCTTAGCATTTCTGTTAACCCAGCCAAGTGACTTAGCCATGCTGGCCCTTAATTTTCTGGTCAGCAAAATGAGAGAATTGGGATCTTTAAGGCCTCTTCTAGCATCAACTGTGTGGGATTCTGTTCTTTAGTTACTCATCTACAAAACATCAAGTTTTACTGTTTTTAAACTGATGTTCTTTGTTAGCTCATTCTTAACATAAGTTTGTATCTGTAGCTAGTATTTGCTGATTTAAAAATGTACCTTTATTGTTTTTATTATAAAAAGTATTATACTTTCTACCTATACATTTGTCATTAGTTGTTACCAATGACTCCTCTTTCTCTTCCTTATTCTATCCTGTCTCATCTCATTCTTCATAGTTAAGTGTTGATGCCTAATAGCTAGTATCTCAGACTTTTCTAGGCTTGAAATATATGCATATGTAAATATAAAATTCTTTTGCCTATAAAGGGATTATATTATACATATGGTTCTGAAGCTTGTGTTTTTATTAGTGAATGATAGAGATGAACATAAGGAAACAATATGCAGTGAAACATAAGTCCCTCTTATACTCTTAATTCCCAGTTCTCCTTCCTTAGAGGCAATGTTTATGTATCAGAAATTTTCTGTGTCTATATACACACATATAGAGATGATTTTTTTTTTTAAAACAAAGAGCATACTATTCACTGTTTAGCTTTTTGCTGCTGCTGTTTTTTGTTTTTGTTTTTATTTTTCTCTTTTGGTTTAATGTTGTGTTTTGGAGATTATTCCATGTCAAATAATTCATGTAAACAAACAGTAAGTGCTCAAAAATGTTAATTAACATCAGCCCTCTAAACAGCTTTCCTATTATTTTTTTAAGGCTACAAAACATTCCGTAGTGCAGATACACTACTTCCTTATTGATATCTCCAATGTGGCTATTATAAATAATGGTTCAGAGTACATCCTTGCTTCTAAGTACTTGTATCACTGTATCTGCAGAGAAATGTCTGTTGAAAGACTGTGCCTTTTATATTTTGTTAAATATTTAGAAGGCAGTCCGGCAGTTGGTTGAACCTGTTTGCATTCCTCTCAAGAGTGTATGAGGCAGCCGGGTGCCGTGGCTCACGCCTGTAATCCCAGCACTTTGGGAGGCCAAGGTGGGCGGATCACAAGGTCAGAAGTTCGAGACCAGCCTGACCAACATGGTGAAACCCGATCTCTACTAAAAATACAAAAATTAGCTGAGAATGATGGCATGTGCCAGTAGTCCCAGCTACTTGGGAGGCTGAGACAGGAGAATCACGTGAACCCAGGAAGCGGAGTTGCAGTGAGCTGACATTGCACGGCTGCACTCCTCCAGCCTGGGTAACAGAGTGAGACTCCATCTCAAAAAAAAAAAAAAAAAAAAAAACGTTGAGTTGAGGTATCTTATTTTTGTGCTCAGTTTTTATGTCTGTGTCGGATTTTTTTGAGATGGGGTCTTGCTCTGTCACCCATGCCAGAGTGCAGTGGTGCAATCTCTGCTCACTACAGCCTCCGCCTTCCGGGTTCAAGCAATTCTCCTGCCTCAGCCTCCCGAGTAGCTGGGATTACAGGGATGCGCCACCAGGCCCTGCTAATTTTTGTACTTTTAGTAGAGACGGGGTTTTACCGTGTTGACCAGGCTGGTCTTGGACTCCTGACCTCAAGTGATCCATCCGCGTTGGCCTCCCAAAGTGCTGGGATTACAGGCATCAGCCACCACACCTAGCCAGATGTATTTAAAAAGTGTTTGTTAGCTTTCTCCACTCATTGTTTTATGGCAGAACTTGTCTCCAACATTTCCTTTACAGTGTTTCTTAACATGCACACACACATACACCCAGTTCAGCCTAAAAAAACCAGCTCCTGTAGTTTGCATCAAGAAAGCTGGTATGTGGCCGGGCGCGGTGGCTCAAGCCTGTAATCCCAGCACTTTGGGAGGCCGAGGCGGGTGGATCCCGAGGTCAGGAGATCAAGACCATCCTGGTCAACATGGTGAAACCCCGTCTCTACTAAAAATACAAAAAGTTAGCTGGGCATGGTGGCACGTGCCTGTAATCCCAGCTACTCAGGAGGCTGAGGCAGGAGAATTGCCTGAACACAGGAGGCGGAGGTTGCGGTGAGCCGAGATTGCGCCATTGCACTCCAGCCTGGGTAGCAAGAGCGAAACTCCGTCTCAAAAAAAAAAAAAAAAGAAAAGAAAAGATAAAAAGAAAGCTAGTGTGTAAAACTTTGTATTTAGTCCAAGGGAAGCGGCAAGGGTTGTTGACAGACGCCACTTCCCTTTTTGCTGCATGTGTGCGTATACGCCGCCCTCCCATCCACTTATTGGTGAATTGTTTCTTGCCAAAGACTACATTTCCTAGAAGGATGGTTATTTTTTTTTTTTAACCCCCACTTACAAATTGTTGTGGAAAAGGGGTTAGAGATTACCTGGTGTTACAGATAAAGAAACAGAGATCCCAAAAGGTGAAATAAGTGGTTCAGGATCACGGTGGTGAAAACAGGGCCACAACTCTGCCCTTGGGGCTCCTAGTCTAGCCTGTTTGCCAGAGTCACACGTTAAAATGATTCTCTTTGTGATTTTCTTTATAGATTATGCAATGTATTTAAATAGTGAACTGATGGTAACAATTTATAGAGCAAATCTGTTTCATAAAGTAGCACTTTATAAAATATATTCTAGGTGTGTTAATAGATATTCACATGGAAGAAAGCAATATAGAGAACTTCTTTCCCCCAACACCTTCACTTTTTTAAACAGAGCATCTTAGGGTATTGATATTGAGTTATATGTGTCAGTGTTCCATAGTGGAACTATGAAACTGTGTTCCACTGTTTAACACTGACACACACAGCTCCAAACCTAAGACACCACTGAGCTAGATTGCACTATTGGCAGGGAAAGTCATTTAAATTTGGTCACTAGGGCTGGGCGTGGTGGCTCATGCCTGTAATCCCAGCACTGTGGGAGGCCAAGGTGGGTGGATCACCTGAGGTCATGAGTTTGAGACCAGCCTAGCCAACATGGCAAAACCCCATCTCTACTAAAAAATACAAAAGTTAGGTAGGTGTGGTTGTGTGTGCCTGTAATCCCAGCTACTCGGGAGGCTGTGGCAGGAGAATTCCTTGAACTGGGGAGGCAGAGGTTGCAGTGAGCCAAGATCATACCATTGCACTCCAGCCAGGGCAACAGAGCGAGACTGTCTCAAAAATAAATAAATGAATGAATGTGGTCACTGGGAGGAAAGTATTCTTTACCTAGTATGTTTCTCAATGAAAGAACTTGTGTCGTGATCTGTGTCCGTGTTTGTAAGTCCCTCTCCAACGGTACTGTCAAGGCCCTTTACCTGATGGCCTGGTGAAGGTGAAGGTCAGAGCAGGAAAAGCACAAGAGAGGCTCGAGTCTCTTCCGGGTGGTAGTGATTGAGTCTGTAAGAGCCACAGCTGACTTGAAGAGCTAACTTAATAATGTGATAGTTAAAACGAGGTAATTTATTCACCGTTGGACCTTAACAAGATGTCTGCAGAACACAGCTTGAAGGGGATCGAAGACAGAACCTCTTGGATGATCTTGTCACTCGAGAGAGACTACTTCTGGCATCCTTTAAGAATGAGGGTGCTGAACCAGATCTAATCAGGTAGGATGTTTTCATTTACAGGGATTACTTGGTGGGTGAAGACTTCTTTGTAGATATTACAGCTGTTTCCTGAATGGCTTAATTTAGGAATCAGATCAATTAAGATATATTCTGTTCATTGATGGTGTTTGACGGTAATTTTCTACTCAACTTAGTTGTTGTTAATTTTCTAGATTTAGTAAACCAGGTCTGTTCAGCTGAATCCCATGTTGGGTGGAGCATACTAAGGTAGACTGCGGGTGAAGTCAGAACATTTCTTTGGCATTCTTTGGTTGAGTTTTCTGCCTTGTTAACTGCCTTATAAACTCCTGAAGTCACTACTTATCTGTGTGGGCAAAGGACTTTTGTTTTTTTTTTAATTGGCCTGTTGAAAAAAATGAGTCCCTTCTGGGGCTCACAGAGGCAAAGGAGTTGCGCAGTTGAATCCTTCTCCCCATTCTTAGCCAGTGAGTGAGTCACACTTCAAAGAGCCGACAGCTGCTCTGAGCCCAGCTCTGCTGGAAGACCTGGAGAACGGGTCCGGCTTTTCAAGGCTGAGGTGGATGAACCGTAAATTGTTACATCTTTAGAATTGGCCTCCCACTGCTTCCAGAGCTCCCTTAGCTTCATCGTGGGAACCATCACAGAAGGCGATGAGCTTGGGTGGAAACCCGCCTCTCCTCATATTCCATGCAGGGATGATGCATTTACTGTGGAGAGGAGCTTGTTTCTACTTAGTTTCCAGGTAGGAATAGTATGGCTTCCCAAGGGCAGTGGTTTTGGACCCTAGATATTCATTACCAGACTCCTCCTCGGACAAGTAAACCAGAGTGGGATTGGGGTGGAGGCACCGAGGGGCAGGGAGGCCCCAGGTGATTCTAATATACAACAGGGATTGCAAACCACTGCCTAGGACAAGCTGAAGAAAATGAAACTGATTTTCCTTGGGTCCCAGTCTTCTCAGGAGCAATGATCCAAGGTTTCAAAAAGAAACTACGAAATACAGGAATGTAGATTAAATGCTAAGTTGCTTCTGTGAAGAAATGAACCTAACAAGGCAGCGAGGGAGGAGCGATACTCTGTTGGCAGTCTCCTGGGCACGGTTTAAATGAAGACGAAGCCTGTGGTGGGCCAATCTACTGTGGTTCCCAATTATTTCCCTGGCATATGCAGTCCCAGGGTGCTGGGGTGAAGTAAGTGGATGAAGGTGGTGGTCCAGGTCGGTTAAAGAGTACAGGTGAGCGAAGGAATCCAAGGTGAATGGAAAGTACTGTCTTTTAGAAGGGGCTTTACACTGAAGGCAGAATCTTTTTAGTCGAGAAATGAGTAAGGGCATAGTTAGGACGGGGAGCAGGTTTCGGGAGGAATAGGGTCATGTACAGACATGATGGTCAGAAGGGAGACAGAACATTCAGACCGTTCTGCTTGGCAGTGATGAGGAGGTCGTGATGTGTAGTCATAGTTCCCATTTGAGAAGAGTCTGGTTTGCATCATCTGGCTTGCACCTGACTCTGCTCTTTGCTTGTCACTAATTGTGTCACTTAATGATACCAAAGAGGCCAACCTATGAATTGAGACCAAGGACCTCTTAAGTCCTCCCACTAGTTCCTTGTGGTTTTTGTTTTCTTAGTTTTTGGTCCCCACTTGCCTGTCATTATCACCCCTGTTTTCTGATCATCTCTGTGTCCTTTAATGTGCTACCTGCTGATAAGCAGCGTCAGCATCAATCGCCTGCTAGTATGTTACAAATTCTGATTTCCCAGCCCCAAACTATGGAATCAAAACTTGCATTTTAACAAGATCATCAGGTGATTTGAATGCATGTTGCAATTTGAGAAATACGGCTTTGTATCATTTATTTATTTATTTATTTATTTATTGAGATTGGGTTTTGCTCTGTTGCCTAGGCTGGAGTGCAGTGGCACAATCTCAGCTCACTGCAACCTCCGCCTCCCAGGTTCAAGTGATTCTTCTGCCTCGGCCTCCTGAGTAGCTGGGATTATAGACAGGCGCCACCACACCCAGCTAATTTTGTATTTTTAGTAGAGATGGGATTTCACCATGTTGGCCAGGCCAGTCTTGAACTCCTGACTTCAGGTTATCTGCCTGCCTTGGCCTCCGAAAATGCTGGGATTACAAGCATGAGCCACTGCGCCCAGCCTGTATCATTTATTTTGAGTCGTGGCACTTTGCATCAGAATCACCCAAGAGAGAATGGAAAAAAAAAAAAAAAAAAAAAAAAAAAGAAGGAAATACAAATGTCTAGACCATATACTTGCAGAGTTTCATTTGTAGTCTCGGGTGAGGCCTGGGCAGCAGTAAAGCTGGAGAGACTGCCAGATGGTTTTAGTAGGTGGCAGGGTTAGAATGACTGCTCTATGTCACGATATACTAGTCATGACACCAGTAGCTTATGTCTGCTACTTGTTTTTGGTAGGGTAGGCACTGTGCTAAGCTCTTTATGTGCATTTACTCAGGAGCTCTTTATAATATCCCATTTTACAGAAGAGTAACTGAGGCTCTGAGCGTTCAAGACTCTAAAGCTAATCGGTCACAGAGCTTGGATTTTAGCCCGGAATTCTTAACCACTGCATCAGCTGGATGAGTTGCTAGAAGGACCCAGTTCTGTAGCTTGTTAGTCCCTCGGTCATCTGGGCTTCAAAATCATTGACCTTCAACTGGGGATACGTGTGCTGCCCAGTTTTCATTAGGAACCAGATGAAGTGATTGCTATGAGATGGGCTTTGTAAACTCTGAGACCTTTATAAATACAAGATGTTATTACTGGAGCATTGTGTCTGTCAGGCTAGGAGGAAGCTCATGCTGCTTCCTTGCTTTGGAGACCTTCTGTCCCTCCTGTCATGCCCCTGAGTGCTCTAGAGGGACCTGGTCTGTTTGACCCCATCCTCTGCTGCACCTGGTCCTCTACCCTTCATTCTCCCCTTCCAAATCTCATTTGTTCTGTGTCCGCTTCCCTCTATGTGCAGCTTGCTACCTGTTGTCTTATTAGTGAACAATGTCGTGTTAATGCTAGGAGTAGAATCGATGGCTGGCAGTGACTTGTCTTCTGGAGGTATTTTAAATGAAACCTCCTTAAACTCTAGGATTTAAACCAAAGTAAATTAGTTGATGGGAATGTTTAGGGAGTTTGGCAGGTTAGTGTCCAGTGATGTTTTTGGATGGAGGCCTTCTGAGGACCTCTCTGGTCCTGCCACTGGAACTGCCTTATGCTCTTCATGCATATAAGGCTGATCCATGTGGTTGACTAAAGCTGTTGCTTGTTGGTTTCTTGGGGAATGGCTGGGATGACATGAGGACAGAGACCATATTGGAGAGACACTGTAAAGCAAAGGTAACCGAAGCCCTGAGGGTTGAAATAAAGTAACGGGCCAGATTTATTTCCATGCTTTCAAGATAAAGCCAAGGGCAACATAGATATTGATGTCAACCGGGCATAGTGGCTCGTGCCTGTAATCCCAGCACTTTGGGAGGCTAAGGTGGGTGGATCACCTGAGGTCAGGAGTTCAAGACCAGCCTGACCAACATAGTGAACCCCATCTCTAAAAATACAAAAAAAACTAGCTGGGCGTGGTGGTGGGCACCTGTAATCCCAGTTACTTGGGAGGCTGAGGCAGGAGCATGGCTTGAACCCAGAAGGTGGAGGTTGCAGTGAGTCAAGATCACACCATTGCACTCCAGCCTGGGCAACAAGAGCGAGACTCTGTCTCAAAAAAAAAAAAAAAAAAAAAGATGTTGGTGTATCTTTTCTGTTCAGGACCAAAAGTATAGGATAAGCTTCTAGAAGAATTCTGTTTAAAAAGAATGTAAGCACTGTAAAGGAGAAATGACTCCTGTGGAGTGAAGAAGGTAGATGTGGACAGTGATGGTCTGATCCAGATGACATGGAGTCTGGCCAAGAGTGAGAAACCAACATGGTGACTGGATCTTGAGTGCTGTGAAGGAAGAAAATCATTGCAGATACAAAGAGGAAGGAGAATGATGTAGGTGGACTGGAAGGTGAATTTCCCATTCCCTTCCATTGGTGAATCCTTGTTGGGCTAGGATTGCTTTAGTCCCAACACCCTAACAGGAAGGTGTCCACATACACTTGTCCAAAAAGTGCAAGTCCTGTAGACATTCCAGAGGAGTCTGATCAATAAGAAAATTCATAGTAGACAAAACGGCTCTCAAAAGCTGTGTAGAAAAGTCCCTGGGAAATCTGCTCAAGGGCCATAAGAACAAATACCCCACTAGCGTTGCTCCAGCTAGTCAGGGAGGATGGCACTATGTGGACTTGCTGAGGACCAGCAATAAGTGCATGGATGTGTGAACGCTAAAGCCAGCGTAGACTGCCAGAGGTAGATTTTCTTAGATTTAAGGTCAGAGTTGCTGGTCTTTGATTTCCTTCCCCTGCCTATGTAAGAGTATTATTTTTGCCTTCTTTACTCCTGATCCCCACCCTTGAGACCTCCCCTTCTCTCCCCAACTTCTCATATCTAATAATTCTCCTGCTTGGACCTAGTCCTCTGAGGACATTAGTTCCGTTGTAAACACAACATGTGTGGGTTCACAGACTGTGTCCCCTTCCCTCCTGATGATCAGTTGCTTAGTCACTTCTAATACCAACTGGTAGGGAATGCGCAGCTCTATCTCTGGAGAAACTCGTTCCTTTCTCTGCCGGTTGGTTTCTGTAGTATCTCCCATGACTAACAGATTTCCTCAGTCCTCTGCACAGTTAATTCCTAGTTCTGGGCTCCTCCAATATTTTCATTTGCTTCTCTAATCTCTGGATTCCTCCAACATTTTTCTTTGCTTCTGTAGCTCTTGGTTTTGGGAGGGTCATTGTGTTGCTTTGTCACTTTGGGGGTGGAGGATTGGTGTCTTTCCCTTAATTCATGACTTCCAGAAGCACAGTGGCCAGAAAGCTGTGTCAGAACTTTGAAATGTTATAGACATGCTCACTATGGCACATTTTGTCATTAATGCTAGACCATGACCACAACACATTTAGTGTGAGAGAA